AGGGTAGGCTACCCTAAACCCTAAACCCCAAAGGTTGACGTGGCTCTGGGGCTTCAGGGTTTGCAACAGGTTTTAGGGCCTTAGGCTGTGTAACGTTTTGGCAGGTTTTGCCGAGGTTTCATTATGGTTTAGGGTTTGCGGGTGGGCTTAACGATGGGGTCTGAAAGGGTTTAGGGCTTCTGGAGACGACAGGGTTCTCTAGCCAGCAATAAAGGATTGATCTAATATGCAGGGGCCTTAATACTTAGAGTCGGGTTTTGGGGCCCATTATGCTATATTTATGATACGGAGCCCCAAAATAGTTTAGTAGAGGTAATTATTTAGGCCCCTATACTACTGGGTTTCGCTGCAATGGTGACAGAAGGCTACAGGGTATCCAGTTTAGTCTGAAGGGGGCAAGGGCCAGCTCTGATAATGTAGGGGCCTAGGTAATTACCAATACTATTTTGGGGGTTCCTGATGATAGTCATAGTATACAGGGCCCCAAAACCCTATTCTAAATATTGAGACCCCCTATATTGCTACCTGCGACTTGAACCATGCCTGCAAGAATCTTCATGAGTCAATCAGAGCGACGGGAAGCTCCCTAACCCCTAAACCCTAAACCCTAAACCCTCATGCGAAGCCGCAACGACACCAGGAGATGCCCGGAAGGAACTTTTTCTGCCACGTCGTGACCTCTGCCTGAGGTAGAAACAAGGGATGTGGCAGCTGTTGGCCGCCGGGGAGTAGCTGGCGATGAGGAAAGCAACTTCCAATCAGGAATATATAGAGACTCGACCAAGAGGAGCCGCTAGAATATAAATGATGGTACACTACAGTAACATACAAGCCATAGTCACCATCGGAAGAACATTAATTACAAATGAAACCGTGCTGCTGTTGCCTGTTGCCTGTTGCAGCCCCAGAGCGGAATAAACCTGGACCGCTGAAGAACCTACGAGCTTCAAGCAAGTAGATAACGATATCACAACAAGGAATCCTACACAGCTACATAGGTTATTTGGGGCTATGCTCTGGCAGCACGCCCGATGAAAAGACAAAGGCTGACCGGTTGTCCTCCAGCAAGAATTGGCTTGCCCGAGAAGCGCTGCTAAATAGCTGACCAATCACAACCACTGCCGACATGGCATGTAAGACACACAAGAAACCCTTGTTGAACCCGAGTAGCGAACCCTTACAAAACACTTCAGGGGACCCATACAGGACCATATTTCTCAAGTATTCAGGGCCCTCCTGTTGGTACTTACAAGTCGTAATCTTTCACACAAGACTCCCTGTAGTAGACCGTTGTATAAGGGGCTGAATGACGAGGGCTTGGCATTAAAATGGTACCGCCATGTAATCTATATATAGAGTGTGTTTAAGTACAGGGGATAGTATATAAGATATATAAGTATGCCAGCCAAGCCCTGCAAACTGTAAACCCTGAACCCCAGCCCTACAAACTACTAAGCCCTAAACCCTAAACCCTTCTAAGCGAGCCTTTCGGGAATCGTCGTGAAGTGGTTGCTTAGCCCGGCAAAACGCATGTCTTGAAAACTGTGCCTGCAATATAGGGGCTTTAAGGGTTTAGGGGTTAGGGGCTCTAATACTGGGGAAAAAGTCTTGGGAGGTACAACATAGTCACATAGTCCAAAGTCTAGGCCCCCATATTGCGCATGCATGAAGACAGGGACACCGGCTGATAAAGCATCGTAAGGGGGGCCAGTGAATTAAGGGAGCCTGTCGACCTGGCTTCACCAAGTTGGTTCTGATTTCATTCCCGACTGTCTCAATCCCCACAAAGCCAAAGCACGCAGGAAACGGCCCCACTGTTCTGCGAGCTGGTCTTTGTGGGCCTCCGGCAAAGTCTGGAAGCGTACCGCCAGGAAGACTGAAGCGCTGAAGGCCAAGTAGCGAAATCCTCGGAACTTCGTTTCAGTTACCGACATGGCGATCTTTAGCTAACAAGGTTTCCTGATTCTGGTAGCATTTAGGTAAAGTCCTTAACAAGAGCCCAGCATCGGGAGTACCAGAAAAGATCGAGCTTGGATCCTCCCAGGAAGATGCCAGCGTCACTGCTCTCCATGTAGCTGACGAGCCACCGAATCTCAGCCCTGGCTTGCCCACATAAGCACCCCTGCAAGTAATTCACGAAGGATGCTGCCTTCTTGCACTTTTCACTCATCGCCGCAGCACACCCAAAGACATATGTCATCAACGCAAATGCGATGATGCTCGCTATGAGATGCGGCAGTATCCACTCTTCGCTCTGCGACGACAAGCTGGTTGACACGAAGATCTCCACAATGGGAGCCAGTCCACTCATCAGTGCAGTCAGAAACATGATCACGTACCTACAGCTTTCATGAGGTAGAAAAGACCGTAGCCGAGAAGGGAATGGGCTTTACATTCAAGGGTTCAGCAGTTCAACCCTCAGCCCATCACGCCTGTTTGCAAAAAACCTAGCAAGTGCTCGAGTTCTGACAGGTTACACCACTTGGCAATGCTGCGTCATCTGCCCGGTGAAAGCACAGACACAAGCCCAGTGGCTGTAGGCTGAGTCCACACCTTCAGGGCTCCTCGCGCAGCTGCGGCAGAACGCATCCGCCAGCTCGTTGACAAACTCGTTCAAGCGCAATAGCCACAACGACCAACTTGCCCGGTAGAGGTTTTGGAAGCAAGGCAACACGACGACTTGCCATGTCATCTCGCCGCCGGCCCAAGCCACAAGTCGCACCTTCGCGACATGGCACAGAATCCAGCCGGCGAGGCATGCCGTGATCACAAGGAGGTGCCACTTCATGGCCGGAAGTGGCCCCATGTTGTGCGACTGCATAGCCTCCATCACATATGCGTTAAACTCTTGGAATCTGATACTGGAGGATTTCCGAGACAGGAGGGCCAGATTTGCTGTTGCTTCGAAAACATGGAGCAAACAGCCCCCCATATTCCTTGGCTGACTTCTGAACCCCTCCTAAAAGTTATAAGCTTTTAGCCTGCTTATTATAGTTCACATAGAAACCCAAAAAGTTAAACTCCTAAGAGCCAACTAGAAGAACGCCGAGCTTCCACCCTCCAGTGACCGAAGTGTATAGACATGCTGCCCAAAGAGCCACGCACATGATCACTGCGGCAGCACGAACCCCCTGCCCACCGCGGTGCATGACCACACCAATGGGAAGGAAAAGGATGACACAAAGCCGATCGAGGAAGGCTTGACAGCACTTCTCCCAACAGCGTTCCTGGCTAAGGGGCACCTCCTGAATGCTCTGTAGCACACCCTTCGAAGCCGCCTGCCCCAATACAACGTTGTCTAGTGCAGAATGCAAGGTCTTCATGGATGGACGATGCTCCATACCATCACCGAGCGGCAGAGACCTGTCGCCGTCGCCTGGTGGACTTCCTTGCGCTTCTGGCACAACGCGGTCGAGGCGCTCGGAAGGAGACATCGACCCCCTTGCCATCGCCGCTTCGTCTAGCTGTTTCTGCAGCTCCTCGAGCGTGGAGTCACTTGCCACGCGAAAGTGGCTGTTCTGTGACAGCGCTCTGGGAGCCTCGAGTGACGGCAGCGGTGCATCCTTCCGGAGTGGAGGTGGAGGACTGTCCATGGCGAGAGCAGTGTTGGGGCACCGGGATCGTCGAACTAGGCTTGATGCTGAAACAAATCTGGGACCGTGGCAAGTCATGGCGCTCCCTCGTCCGAGTTTAGGGTTTAGGGTGAAGTGTTGCGTGACACCGAGATGCACTCCGAACGCAGTGGCTGCCCTACACTCTTCGTTCCTAGAACCAGTGCCCTACATGTCTTCCGAACGACATGCATGAGGCACCAACACGCATCATCATCATCATCATCATCAGCAGCAGCAAAATCATCATCATAATCAGCAGCAAAATCATCATTATCATCATGGCGGTTATCATGCAGGAAGTGGTCGCGATGCTAGATGCCATCATGCAGTGTCGCGGTGCCACAGTCCGAACTCAGAAACGCCGCTAACAGCTGTCGTCCACACACTGTGTCCACACACAATCAAGCCCTGAAGCGTAAACCCCAACTCCTAACCTCACGGCTTCGGAACAAACTCCTAAACCCCATAACGCAGCCCCTGTGTTTACCCAAAGGCCCCATAGTAGTTCCTCTTTTGTGGCTTGTAGGCTTGTAGTTAGGATCGTATTGGGGAATCCCAAAAAGGAGCTACTATGGGGCCCTTTTGTTTAGTTTTACCCCCCCAAGAAACTCCAGGTCCCCCAGTAGCCCCTAAATAATAAGGGTGCCCTTTCGCCTACTCTTTGGTTTTATTAAGGGAACCCTAAACCCTAAAGCCGAAACCCTAAACCCGAAACTCTAAACCCTAAACCCTAAACCCGAAACCCTAAACCCTAAACCCGAAACCCGAAACCCTAAACCCTAGAAACCAATGAGCTTCGGCCCAGGCCTTTTGGTCTCCAGACCAGCAGTCTGACCCTGAAACCCAATCTCCTAGGGGTGTTGGGGGTTTAGGGGTTGGGGGTTTAGGGGTTTGGGGTTTTAGGGGTTTTAGGGGTTTAGGGTTTAGGGTTGCAAGGGTTTTAGGGGTTTAGGGTTTGGGGGTAGGGTACTCTGGAACCCTAAACTGCACAAAAAACCCTGAACCCAACACCCGAAAACAAAAAACCTAGTGCCTCGTCTGCCTTAGCAAGATCCCGCCAAACCGCCATCCTCCAGCCCCGTAGTGCCTGTTGCGCGAGCTCGAGTGCTGCTGCACGTTGGCTGTCCAGGAACCGGAGTAGCCGTGAAAGAGAAAACCTACCCAACAGGGTTTAGGGTTTAGGATTTAGGGTTTAGGGTTTAGGGTTTAGGATTTAGGACTCAGGGTTTAGGGTTTAGGGTTTAGGGTTTAGGGTTTAGGGCCCAACAGGGCCTTACCCTAAACCCTCAGCCCTCTTCGTAAGTGCTAGATCCGGCTGTGCTATTGGGTTTAAGCGTCTCGAGGTTTGAGGGCTTTAGGAATTGAATGGTTCAGAGCTTTAGGCTTTAGGGCTCTGGGGTTCAGGGTTGTTGGGTTTAGTGCTTAAGTCACCCTAAACCCTAAACCCTATTATAGGCCTTGAGGGTGTGGGTGCGGGCAATCAGGCAGATGAGCCCGAGGACTCTAACATCACTTCACGGTTTAGGGTTGGGGGTTTAGGGTTTACGCCCCAAACCTTAAACCCGAAACCCTAAACTCCTAAACCCTAACCCTAAACAATTTCGGTTCCAAAGCTACAGGTCGAGAACCATAGGGCTTCAAACGGATCATAAGTGTCTATGGAAGGCTCTAAAGGCGTTAATTAGACAAGGGTTTTGGGGCCATTAGACTATAAGTCTAATGAGGAGGTTCTATCGGCAATTATTGAGGCCCCTTTTTTGACTTGGGTACTAACCTCACACGGTACGGTACCTTACAACATCGTCGCAG